AGTATATTTATATTCTTTTAATTTTCCTATATAAATAATAAATATAAATTGAAAAGAATAACGATAATAAAATATTATAAAAGATATATTAAATATAAGTAAAATAAATACCTTTGCATGTTATTTCTTATTTGTATCAATTACCTATAATAAATATCATGCCTGTCTTTTTTTTTAGTTTTATTTTCATATTTATTTAATCAGTAAGTTTCAGGATTGCTTCCAGTAATTTAATAATATCAGTTGTTATGGTAATTGTTTAAGAAAAAAAGAATTACCATACCTGTCAAAAACTTTTTATATAAAAAGTAAATTAGTATTAATATATATAGAAATAAATTAATGTCCATTTTTTTAAATAATACTTATAGGATATTCTCACATATAGTGTATCTAATTACAAAATTAAAATAATAATCGTAAAATATTCCTTCTGATATAATGATCAAAGAATAATAAATGGAATTTAAATTCTAATACTAACCTATATGTCTGATAAATACTAAGTTTGATAATACTTTTCTATATAATTTCTTAATAACACAGGTTCTTTCTTTTTTAAATTCTCTTTAAAAATTTCATACATATTTTTTTTGAGCAAGAATAATGATCTAAATGTATATACTTTCTTAGAAAATTTACCTAAACTTCAAAATACTAAAAATTTATACATCAATTTTCTTTGAAGAACTGTAAAAAATTAGAACTTTAACATCATTACAGCATAATACTACTTGACAACAGTATTAGTTGCATTCTTGACTATAATAAAAGAATTCTCAGCAATATAAAGATTTTGAAGCTCAATTAGTAGAGCAACATCTAGAATTATCTTTAATGAATATTTGCTCAGAAAAATTTGTTTACTAGCTTAGAGATATGCTCTGAATCTGATCAATCTGGATATCCAGTCATTCATCTGTAATTTAACCAAATTCAGATTGATTTGTTTGTATTACAGAATTGATCAGATAGAAATTGGATTTTTTGATCAATCTGATGACGTGTTTCAAAATACAAGGTCTCTAATCATTGCCATTTTTAGAAACTGAATTATATAAATTACATAGAGATCTAGAATCGTGAAAATCAAAAAACAGGAAACAAATTTTGTGAAATGGTAATCACCAAAAAAGGAAATAATTAACATTATGATTGCATAAAACGTAAAGAATACAGGAATTTAAAAATAGAAAAAAAATTTTTGTGGAATGGCTATCATCTAAAAAAGAAATTAATCAATATATTCACGTATTGAAATTAAAATCATGTAATTTTTCGTAATTTTCATAATTCTGCCTAAAATTTATAATTCCAGCCAGAATTATGAAAATTGACTGGATTATACTGGATAATTTGAAATTCGATAAATAGAAATATAGATGATCTGAAATTTGATCAGATCAGATAACAGATTGATCAGATTTTACTAGAGCTGACCTTTACACTAGCTATTTTAATTACTAAAACTATACAAGAACCTGTAATTAACTAATAAAATTAAAGATTATCAATTAGTTAATATGATTGGATTTTAAATATATCCTTATCTAAATCCCTATTTTTTTGAGTTAATAACAATAATAATAAATAATCAGATTTAAAATTTTATACCAGTATTAGTATATAATAAATTAAGTAATTTTTTATATTATTATTAATATTAACATTAAAAATATTTACTATTTGCATATTATAATTTTATTATACTCCATAATGATAATAATTAAAAAAAAATTTAATATAACATATATTTTTAAAATATATCATAGTTTAAACTTTATTAATAAGATGTATTATATATATAATTTCAAAATCTAAATGTTTTATAATTATAAAGTTAGCATAACGATAAAAAAATATACATACGTTCTGATTAAATATTATAAATAAAATTGATTATCTCTTACCATTATCTTTTATCTATAGTAATATATACTTTAATACTTATATATAAATATTTTTCAAATAGTGCTATTCAACTGCCAAAACATTCAACATAAATTCTATTTAGTTTACACTATATATTTAAACAAAAAATTTTATTTTTAATAAAATTTACTTTACCTTTACCTTCACCACTCACAAAGTAAATCAACCTCATTAATAAAATAATATCAGGCTTAGTCTTATAAAGATAAGCAATTAATAAAAGGTTTTTAACTTTCTTAAATAAAGTATTTTTTCAATTATTAATAATATTAGCTTTTTCTTTAATGTTAGCATTTTGAAATAGAATTCATAAAAATTATTATTAATGCTAAATTGTTATCATTATACTATTATTTATAATAAATTGAATATTAGTATTTTTTTTAATAAATTGCCTTATTAAAACTTTTAAATTCAAACTCACTACAACATATATATAGTTCACAAAATGTTTTTATTTCTAGTAACAGACATATTTTATTCTTATCATAAAATAACAATAAAAAATTTTGAACTTTTTGAAGGAAGATTATTTAAGATTTTGATTACTATAAAACTTTTTGTACTATTTATTTTAAAAAATAACTTAAAGATATATTTTTTTTAATAATGAAAGCATGATTAATTTTTATTATATTCTTATAAAAAATGAAACAAAATTATGTTTTTTTTTTTACTTTTTTATATGAAAAAATGTGTTTTTTACATTGGTCAATTATGCTGATTCCTTATTAAAAAAAATAAATCTCAATTTTTGGAGATAAATCTTGTATTCAATAGATATTTTATAATTTAAATCATAATTTATTTTTATAAATAGTATTTTCTATTAATTGAATTAATAGTTAAATATTTTTTATATTTCATTAGATTAAAATTTAATAATTTATTAATATAAATTAATTAAAATATAATAAATAAGTATTATTTATTATAACTTTTTAGGTAAAAATTAGTATCAAATAATTTAATTTCTTTATTAAAAATACAATTTTATTTATATTATTATAATAAATAATTTATTTTAAATTTTATATTGATTTAAAATATTATTTTTAATTATTTTAATTTAATGTATTGATAAATTATTTTTGATTTACTTTAAATTTTATATTAATTTAAAGTATTTATCAGTAAGTTACAAAAATAATGTATATCACATATTCATCAATATTTAGATATTTATTAAAAATTGACGTAAAATATCAGACCTTACAATATAATACTGATGTATAATAAGATGATGATCATTACTAAATTAAAATATTTATTATTTGTATATTATGATGTATATTATTTTTTAATTGATAGAATAATTATTACTATATAATATATTACAATATTAATGCTAGTAAAAGTAAGAAATGAAATATACTAAATTAAAAATTCTTTCGTGATAGTAAATAAAAAAGAAAATACCATATTATATAAATAAGAGAAATCAAAAATATAATATAATCATCATTAGAAAGTAGAGATAACGTAAAAGCAAAGATAAAAATACGTTTAGGATCGTAAAAAAAACAAATGGAAGTTTATATTATAAAAAAAAAGGTTGAAAATTAATCATTAAAATAAGTAGTATAAAACTCATAAAAGATATCAAAAAAAATATTAATTTACCTTTTAAAATCATCAACCTTGATATCATCGTCTTTTTCAGTACAAATTACTGGATTCTTATCTACTGTATATTCTTCCTATTTAACATTAAATGTAAAGATTAAAATCATATAATAGCCAAGTAAAATAATAAAAACATTAGTATTAAGGTACTTCTTCGTCAGAATGCATGTTCAATTTTTTATTCATTTGATCTATTATCATTTCTCTATTAAATGATATTGTTAGACTAGAAGTTAGCTCCGGTGAAATTTGATTAATTCATCATCTGATCTGGTTAAATTTCAGATCATCTGAATTTCTATTCATCAGATTTTAAATTATCTGGTATAATCCAGTTAATTTTTATAATTCTGGCTGAAATTATAAATTTTGGACGGAATTATGAAAATTACGAAAATTCACATGATTTTTAATTTTAATAAGCAGGTATATTGATCAATTTCCTTTTTCGATGATAGCCATTCCACAAAAAAATTTTTCTATTTTTAAATTTCCGTATTCCTTACATTTTGTGCAATTATAATGCTGATCATTTTTTTTTAATGATTGCCATTCCACAAAAATTTGTTTTCTGTTTTTTTTAATTTCTACAGTTCTGGTATTCTGTGTAATCTAGTTTCCAAAAATGGTAATGATCAAAGGCCTTGTATTTTGAAACACATCATCAGATCGATCAGAAAATCTGATTTCTATTTGATCAATCCTGTAATATAAACAGATCAATCTGAATCTGATCAAATTTTGAATAGATGATCAGATATTCAGATAAAGCATACCTTTAGTTTAGACCTTCACATCAAATATAAGATCATTAATAGTGATGACAAACGCATAATTATTCGTAATACATCTTTCTTCCTTGAATACTTCGTTTATAATTTGATTCATGTAGATATCATATTGGTCATTGCTATTTTCATCTACTTAATTCCATAAGTTATCTTTAGCCTACTTTACATTTGTAAAGTTTTTCCAATCTATAATTGCTTCTATAAATGTCTTATAACTGAAAATTTCTCTAATAAGAATCTTTTTAAATATATTACAGATTGTGTTTTAACACATTTAATATAATTTGCACATTTTACATAAAATTAGATATGTGTCTATAATATTTAATATAATATTTAATATTATGATTTATTATAAAAAAACATTATATATTACAAATGATTCAACTTATTGCAGATTAAAGTACTTCACTCCAATATTTTATTCACCTGCTATTAGCATTTTTTATCTTTACAATTTCTTTTGGATATGTATTTATTAAAAAAGTATGAATAAAATCATATATGGATTTATCATCAGAATTTTTATTATTAAAAAAAGCTCAGTATACGCATTAATTAGAGTCTGATAAATTGTAATTGAAATATATAGATTATTAAAAAATAAATAAACTATATAAAATAAGTTAAATTAAAACAATTTACCATATACTAGAAATTTTGTTTTTTATTAAAACTCTTAATCTTATTATTAAATGACCCTATATTGAGATTTTCAATTTGATCAAATTGTTCTTTAATAAAATTATTTAATGCAGCTTCTATATGAAAGGATGACACTTTGGCAGTATATACTTCTTCATATGTCATCTTAAAATAAAATAGAGATTTATTCAATACATCAGCATCTTTATCATTAAGATGAGGTACTATATAATAATTAAATTTATTAATAATTAATGTTTAGTCAGTAATTATAAAAAAATCATGTAAAAAACATTAATTATATTAATACTTACACTTGGCAGCATCATTCCTATATTTGTAAAGATTTCTACGCTTGAGCTCATTTGTTGTAATAAAATCATTCTAAATAATATATATTGAATTAATAGTTGTATACAATACAAATTAAAATTATACCATAATATTTTTGATATGATTACTTTTTCTGATACTATATTATTACTAGATATATCTATATTGTCAAGAATAATTATTATCATTTCAGAATCTTTTGCTTGGTTACTATCATGATAATAGATATTGCCAATCTCTTTTAATGTAGATGGTTTCTTCTTGAATAGATTTTTCTTTGATGTAGATTATTTTTTTTCAATATAGATAGTTTCTTCTTCAATGTAGATGGTTTCTCCTTAAATATAGATGATTTATTTTTCAGTATATATATATTTTTTAAACAATATGATAGTATGATAAAGAAATCAAATAATATTAATTAATAAATATTACTAATGTAATATACTCTTTTCTTTCTAGTAGAATTAGGGTTGAAAAAGTCCATCCTAGTTCAGTCCTAGTCCTATAACTTGCAAGTCCTGTTATCAGGACTTGTGACCTGATCTTTAATAATTAGTTCTACAGTAGCGGTCATAAGTATCCGACCGCCTCTAACTCCAGCTACAAGTAAGTAAATTCAAAATTTTTTTTTTTAT